GGAAGGGATTTGGGTGGGGGAGGGGATGTGACAATATCTAGAGAGAGCTCACAATATATGTAAACTGATTGGATGAAAAAAATGAAATTGTATCATTGTTGGGTATAGGCTGAATGAATTAAAGAAGGTTAAACTTGGGCCAGAGAGAGTTGGCAAGGCATTTTCTTTGCACGTATGCAGCCAGTCTGATTCCTCAAGCACAGCCAGATGTAGCCCCAAACAAAGTAAAAACAGGTGGATTTCCGTCAATGGGGGAAACAAATGGTGGTTCTGGGCTAGCCCAAGGAAAAGTTTGTTAGATATTATTTTGTTCGTTGAATTCCATAAAAAGATGGCTTTGTCTTGTTATTTGTGGTAGCTGAGAAGTACAACAAAAATGAGTGGTAAGAACACTTGCCTGGGAAGGAAAAAGGTGTAAGGGGAATTGTCTCTTTATGTGTTCTCTAAAAGTGGCACGAGTGCACATCAAAACAGTCCAGAAAGATATCATATGTTTTGATCTGTATTCATTCTTTCATATATTCTGGAAGATGGAATTTTCTCTTTTTAAAACATACAGACATCGCTAAGGGTATTTATGCTTCACTTGTAGAATGGACTTTTCTGAAATATCAGCTGTTCAAATGCAAGTGTTTAACATTTTGATAATGTCTGATACTGAAATTTTCTGTGTTTATTTTTAGTGACGCAAAATAGATTTTATTGGAAGAAATTTAGATGTGAGGGGAGGAAGGGAGAGAGATAGAACACAGGCTTGGGGAGAAGCCTGGTAGTGATTTATGCCACATTTTTATTTGTGAAGGATTAAAACAACAACAAAAAATTATAAAGTAATTTTAGGGCACACATGCGGGATGCTTGGGGATCATGAGACTTTTTTTTTTTAAGTTAAAAAAATTGCTTTTCCCTTCTCTTTTTATTTTCAGAGGAGAGGTTGCTCAGTTGGTTTGCTTGTCAGGGGCCATATGCTTTGTTGTGGCCTTGGGGAAATCCCAGATTGCCATGTCTCTAGGATTGCATGGCACTTGTGTGGCAGTGCCTGGAATCGAAGTCAGGCATCCGACCACTAAGCTAGCTCTAAAAGCCTACTGTCTGTAAGACGCCACAGCTGCAGTGCCTTAAGAAGGAATCCATGTTCCCTTTATATAGTATCTGTAAAGCATCTGTGGTCAAATAGTTTTTCCTTGATTGACTTAAATTTGAGATTTGACACCCTGTAAGTCATACACTTTGATGTTTTCCACTATACTGTGAAAACTGTTAACTCTTTGGAGGTTTGTTGCTTAGCAAATTTAGGTTATTGTGGAAAACTGAGACTCTTAACTCAGTATTAACTGAGGATGACTTTCAGGACAGAGATACTATAGGGGTTAAGGCATTTGCCTTCTTGGAGCCAAGGAGGGTTGAAATAGACTGATTTCTTTCTCTAAGCAGAAGATAGTTTTCTTAGATCGGTTCATTAGATCAAACCTTCACTAAGGGAGAATTACACACACCGATGCTTGTCCTTATGTTGAGGAAAGGGACTTTTGACCATACTCCAGTGAGTTCTGAGATTCCAGAAAGACAGAATGGGTTGAACAGTGGAATGACTCTAAGGTAAAATTTCTAACCGGATAAGATAAAGTATCATTGACCTTGACTTGAGAAATGAAAGGAAATGCATGAGCTAAGAAACATCAATAAAAACTAGGTATATGGAAGAGAAAAAAAAAGGCATTTGCCTTGCTTATGGCCAGCCCAGGTGTGATGCTCAGAGCATAAAGCTAGGAGAAAGCACCACTGGGTATGGTAAGACTGATCCCCCACCCCCAAAACCCCACCACACCCCCTAATAGACTCTACAACATGATAGTTCTGCCCAATAAATGAACTATAAATTATTGTGTGACACTGAGGCAATTTCATTAAGTAAAATCTGGGTAACTTTTTATTGATCATCAGTGTTAAACACCTTGATAAATATTTCCTTCTTGTCGGGAACATCACAAAGGTATTGGAAAGCATTCTGTTCTTGTCAGAGTGAGGATGGTGGGCAAAGGATTCTCTTTGGAGGGGGTTGGTGATTGGGGCCACTCAGCAGTGCTTAGGAGTTAGTCTTGACTCTACATTCAGGGATTGTTCCTGACACGACTTGGGGGAACGTATTTGGTATAGAGGTGGCGGGAGGGTCAAGCCTGAATTAATTCTGTGCAAGGCTAGTGCCTTGCTTACTGGACTATTGTTCAACCCAAAAGAGGTTTCTCTTAAATAAGGTAAAAGGTAAAGGCCCTCCCGTTGATCGTCGATTTGCTCGAGCGGGCCCAGTAACGTCTCCATTGGAGACTTTGTTGTTACTGTGTCTGGCATATCGAATACTCTCGGTAGCTTGCTGGGCTCTCCGAGAGGGGCGGAGGAATCGAACTCGGGTCGGCCATGTTGGCCGCTTGTAAGGCGAACGCCCTACCCGCTGTGCTCTCTCTTAAATGTTTTCTGCTATACTGTAGCCTGGGTTCGCCTGGACTTGGGGCATTCCTCTTTCCCTATACTCAGATCGAATTGTAAACTTATGTGCACATAGCTTTTCAAAAGTGGGGTGTCATTTATCGTCTTCATAAGGAATATCAAGGACTGGGAATGGACAGGCCACTGCCCTTGAGCTGGTGTGTGTGTGTGGGGGGTGCCTGGGGGAGGCAGAATCTGAGCACACCAATCTGTGTGAGATGGGAGAATCCTAGTTCACTGACCTGTGAGCTTGGTCTCTGTAATCTGTAAAATGGAAACACGTCGCCTTAAGGACATCCCTCTGACTCAAAACTCTGATTCCATCTAGTTCTACTGTCCTAAAAGTGACAGTGATATCTTATGCTCGCCAAAGATTTATGTTCACTCTGATTTCCGTATCCTGGGAATCGCTCTTCTCTTACCCTGTTCTGTATTTCTCTGCTGCAGTGTTTATTCTTTATCCCTCCACTAAATCCTTTTATTGAATTGTCACGGCATTTACTTTGCCCTGTGCTGAATGCCATGGTGGCAAAGATGATTAAGATGGTAGGTTGATTGGCATCAAAGTTTAGTGTGATGAACAACCTTTGTGTGATATCCAAAGTGAACTCAGCTTGGATGGGCAGCCAGCAGCCTCTGGTTTGCAGCATTCTTGGGTCAGATTGCCCCACAATAGAAATCGCAGTTCTTCCTCAAGGTGTAATTTTTCATACTTTCTTTCGTTCATGTTTTGACTCTGGGTTTTTTAGTTCTTTTTGGTAGTATGGGTCAGTGTATGGTGATTTATGTTAACTCTGATTTCAGTAGCCTGGGAATCCCCTTGGACAGCTAATCTGCTTTTGCAGTGCTGATTTCAGGAGTTGGTTTTCGTGAGCTTTAGCGTGGTCTGTGTCACCTTTGAAGGGTGACAGCCTTGGTTAAAACCTGTGCAAAGAGCTGTTGTTTGGGGACCATGGCTCCCCTCCCCTTTTTTTTGCCTTTGGGGTCACACCCAGCGGCTCTCAGGGATTACTCCTGACTCTGCCCTCAGGAATTACTCCTGCTGTGCTTGGGGGACCATGTGGGGTGCTGGGGATCGAACCTGGGTTGGCCTCGTAAGGCAGTTGCTCTGGCCCCGCATTGCTCACTTTCTAGGGCTGCTTCCTGAGAAGCAGAAGTTTGGATCCCTCACCCACTGATGAGTAAGGCCAGCTAGCTCACACTGAGGTGGACTCTGAGGCAGTTGTGTTTCATGGGATGTGATCCTAAGTGAGCAGAGCCTGAGTCCCTGGGGAGAGGCCAGCCGGAGCGGAGAGAGTGAGAGAGTCAGCATGCCTTTGCATGTTTCCTTGTTTGGGGGGGGGGGGGGGGGAGGCTCCCTATGATAAAGTAGGATGTTGGTGTCCCCTGCCTTGCAGCCCCATCACACCTGCTCCCAAGAGCTGGTACTCTAGTGACCCAATCTGACAACTCTTTTCTTGAGAGGATAGACATATTTAAGAAGGAGATCTTTACGTGACTTTCTTAGGTGTGGTTTTAGACATTCTCCAGTGCTCCTTCACTGATTCTGGTTGATCAGCCAAAAGAGACTGTCCAGTTAATTTTCTCTGGATTTCTCTCAAATCCGTCCTGGGGAAATGTGAGGGGAGTAAGATTCCACAGTGATTCAGCTCACTTGGGTATTTGTATCTGCCTTCTACTTGGAGTTTATTATATTGTAGATGCAGTCTAAATGGGAAGACTGTTGGAATAATTTTTCAGTTTTTCATGTCTAGAGTGCACGAGCTTTCCTTCTCACGTCTCTCTGGATCTGAATGGCCGTGCATTGTGAGTAGTGTTTGGCACCACTTAGAATGTGTGAACAGTAGCGTGAGGATCCAGTGTCAGTTGGAGATTGGCTCAGACATAATGGTTAATGGCACAATGACTATATCGCTTGTCTAAGGTTTTTTATAATGACTTTCAGTCTTTACCCTCTTGGGAGCTACTCTGAACCACAGTTGCCTTTTTATTGCTCTCTGTGTGTTGTCCGTGCCAATCACAGAGCTGCAGGGGGCACACCAGCTCGGAATAATTAGATTGACGAGTGAATGTCACACTTGAATTTCATTCTCTTTTCAAGGGATTACCAGTGTCCATTTAATAAAATAAGATTAACCCTCTGCAGCAGGAATATTTGAAAGCTGTCAGTAGATTCTGGACAACTCAAAATGTTGTTCCCAGCACTCCTAGGAATAGTCTTGTGTGTTGATTGACTGAAAAGGTACTGCATGAGTGTGTGTGTGTGTGGGGGGGGGGGGCGGTGTTTGTGATTTTGTGTGTGTGTGTAATTTAGGTGTCTGTATTTCAAGGGAATTGGAAAGAAAAATGTTTTTATAATATATCCATACTAAGGTAATAAGTGAGAAAAAAAGCACCCATCTGATTTCATTTAGAGTTGCCAGTTAATCGGTAATAAATTACCTAAGAAATTAGGAAGTTGAAGATAGAAAGTCTCTATGAGGCAAGTAATGATGCATCTTTTCTTGATTGTTTAGGAAACCTCGGATCAATTCTCAACTGGTGGCACAGCAAGTGGCACAGCAGTATGCCACTCCACCACCCCCAAAAAAGGAAAAGAAGGAGAGAGTGGAAAAGCAAGACAAAGAGAAACCTGAGAAAGATAAAGAAATTAGTCCTAGTGTAACCAAGAAAAATACCAACAAGAAAACAAAGTAAGTTTTTCTGTCTGATGTAGTACAGAATTACTTTGAGACTGAATCAGCCCTTCTTTTAAATGCCTCTTTTTGTATCGCTTCCCCCCTTCTAGACCAAAGTCTGATATTCTGAAAGATCCTCCCAGTGAAGCGAACAGTATACAGTCTGCAAATGCAACGACAAAGGCCAGTGAAACGAATCACACCTCAAGGTATTTGAGCTCTGAGTAAAGTTACAGCCCTGACTTACCTGGTCGCAATCAGGAACTGAGGGAGTTCATAGTAGGTTTAGAGGTAGAATGAAGAATGTAGGTGTGGATTGTGAGTTGTTAATTTTTGCTCTAGCTGCACTTTAAAAAAGTCTATAAATTCTGGTTAGATCCCTGTGACCAAAACAGGAGGGAAAGATACACTGATGATAATCCTGCAGTGCTCCAAAGCTTTGCTCCCTGTGCTGGAAACTATTACCGCTGAGCTGAATTGTTAGCAAGCTTTAGTGTGTGTGGTGGCAGCTTAGATTCATTGCCGCCGTGTCTTGAAGTCTGTGTGTGTGTTACTGACTTTCTGCCAGAAGATGCTCTAGTCCATAGCTGATTTAATGGGCTGTTTCCCTGTGGTGTTGCTTTCAGGCCCCGGCTGAAAAACGTGGACAGAAGCACTGCACAGCAGTTAGCAGTAACTGTGGGCAACGTCACCGTCATTATCACAGACTTTAAGGAAAAGACTCGCTCCTCATCAACCTCCTCCTCCACAGTGACCTCCAGTGCAGGGTCAGAACAGCAGAACCAGAGCAGCTCGGGCTCCGAGAGCACAGACAAGGGCTCCTCTCGGTCCTCCACGCCCAAGGGCGATATGTCCGCCGTCAACGATGAATCTTTCTGAAATTGCACATGGAATTGTGAAAACTATGAATCAGGGTATGAAATTCAAATCCTCCACCTGCCCATGCTGCTTCCACCCCTGGAGAATCTTCTGTGGACATCGACCTCTTAGTGATGCTGCCAGGAAAATTTCTGCTTGCCATGGGCGTCTGGCCACCAAGGAATTTCACACCCTGACGATTACTCTTGACACTTTTATGTATTCCATTGTTTTATATGATTTTCCTAACAATCATTTATAATTGGATGTGCTCCTGAATCTACTTTTTATAAGAAAAAAAATCTGCTGTGCACAATTTTCCATGTACATTACAACTGGTTTTTGTTTTGTTGGGGGGGCGGGTGGGGAGGGGGAGGGACTTTTATTTATTGTGTTCACAAACTCCATCTTTTCAGCATATCCTTTAAGTTTAGTTCTTTCTTCCAGTTATACTATGTACTATCAGTTTTGATATAACTATATATAAATATAAAATTATATATAAAGGGTTATTGAAACCAATCCATGGCAACGCTGGTGCTTGATACACTGTGAAGTGAATACAACATTGACCAGTTACACATCTGGAACAGTCCCTTCTGTGAAAGTGCTGAAACTAAATTAAAATCAGTCTTACATGAAGTGTGTTCCAACCCACGCGGGAACTTGATTCTCATCTGTTTAAAGAGTACTGGACGATATAAAAAATATATATATTTTTTAAACAATGTGATCTCAAATTTAAAGACTGCTCCAGATAGCCTGCATTTGCAATGGAATAACTGACAAATCACAAATGTCTAGTTGGGACAGCTTTATTCAGAGTAACTAAACTAGCTCCAGAATGCCAAGTATTCAGTGTAAATTACGGTTACATGTTAACATTGCTTTTTCTTACATAAGCACTCATGAAAATATGGTATTCTGTAACTCAAATTCCATCCATTTTCCAGACCTTTACTCATGTCTGAGGTAAATCTATAAATTGCCTCTTAGTTTTAGGATTAAACTGTCTAAACTGTACTTGGGTCCTTTCAAGAAGCAAATCCCTGTTTCCATTTGCACGTGACATTGCAGTGGTGGTTTTCGTAATTGAAATTTGTTTGCCTCTTGTCTTACTGTTTCCCAAATCCTTTCCCTACTGATTTCCTCGTGAGAACTAATTTTCTTTTTTTAAAAAAAATACTCGTTTGTTTAAAATCTACTTGTTTTACTGAACAAAGGTTATCAACCACACATCCAACCCTGCCGTGGAGCTTTGGAGTGTTTGGAGACATTCTCGGGTCCCTGCTGTGAGGAGGAACACAGTGGAGAGTGGCTTGAGCGCAGTGTCCTTGGGAAAACCCGTGCTTCCCTCCAGCCTTCGAGGGAGTGATCTTTTTCTTCCTAAATAGTTTGAAAAAAAAGTCTCTTCCAAAGTTTCATTCCATCTGGGCTCTTCTTCCCCCTTGCCCCCACCCCCATTTTGCAAAAACAAAGACCGCTAATATAATCTCATCCCTCCTCATTTAAAATTTTTTTTTGTTTCATTTCCCTTTGGATTTGGGGTCTCTTCTTTGGATTTGGGGACTCTTAACCTCAGATTCACAGAGCTCATAGAGTCCTTTCCAGCACGGGAATGTGACTTCACCTTCCTTTACTTGATCATACTGTAGGGCCTTGCAGGAGGGCAGCCGATCTGTATTGCAGTGCATCACATTTGGTGTGAAAAACATGGTTCGCTTAAGAAGTAACTTCTGTCTGTGGAGGCAACGAGTAAAAATTTAAAATTAACAGCTTGATTTGAGTAGCCAACAGGAAAGGTTCCTTTCACATTTACATTAAAACTACCCTGTAATCACTAATGAACCATAATTTAAATTCTGTTCTCAAAGGTATAGATTATAAAGCAGTGCCATTTGTGGTCCTATTCTCAAATGCATGGACAATGTTCCCCTCTTTTTAAAATAATGCTTGTATCTGGGATGCAAGCTATGCTTGTCTTTTTAAATACATTTTTAAAGTATTTATTAATGAACCAAAGGAAATTTGATGCTTTCCGTAAGCATCGGGATATATAATACATAGTGATTTGACTATGAATTTTAAATCCACATTTTAATATTAGTGGGATATTGCAAAGACATTCTAAAGTTTTAATATTCCTTTTATTAAGGGACTCAGGGAGGGTAAATTAGTCAGCCATATTTATTTTCCAGAGATGTAAGGAATTGCTAAGTTTTTTAATTAACTTTTTAAAAAATTTTAAACGCCACCAAACTCAATGTGGGTTGCACTGCTTTTTGAACCAGTAAGTGTTAGTATGCACTTTGTTCAGAAACACTGTGTACTTTTTCAAAATTAGTTTCATGTAAAGTGATTGGACCCCCAGATTAGTGGAAAAAGCTGATTAACCAGCTACTCAGGCTGCTAATTAATCCATTGCCAATGTCTTGGTTTTTCAGTTTTGCCTCCATAAAAATTTAACGAATCAGAGAATAGGGAGGGGTGAAGGAAGGGAGGATTGCCTTAGAATAGGTGGGATGAACTTGCCATTTTGGTAGAAACTGCAGCTAACATGGGACTTCTCTTGGCAGTCAGATGTTACCGGGCCAGACCTGAGGCTGCCAGTGTATTCGGATGAGGTAGTGAGGTGGTAGGAACTTTAGACTTTTAATTTCTGAAATAGATGACATCCCTCAGGCATGTATTCTGGAAATGGAATTTCTTCAACTTCTGGATATGCAGTTTGCCCTGCAATTAGTAGGCAACGCGTGTTAAAGACACTAGTGGAGATTATAAAGATATATATTAAAAGAGGACCAGAAATACTTGGTATTCAGTGGCACAGATAGCAGGTTGTGAAATCAAAACAAAAGCACAGTGTTAACGCTTGCAGTTTTCCATTTGTTTTAGTACCACATGGTCGCTCACACTTTGTGTGTGCACACACACAGTTTACCTGACTTGCTCTATTTGAGTCATGCAGTTGGGGATTAAAAAACGTAAAGACATCCTGTGACACCCACAAAATGTTTTAATCAGAACCTTTCAGTTTCAACCTGGATATTTAGAAACATTGGCAGAAGCTTCTGTGAGTTTAGTTCCACTAAGATGTATCACCTGCCTTATCAAGACCATTCTCAGTCTACTTTTTTAAGCTACCGTATCTTAAATTATTGAAAATTTATTAATTGCTGAATATATAATAACCTTTGCTTGTATGTAACCGAAAATGGTTTAAGAGCCAACATTTAGAGTATGACAATGGAGCTGAACAGTTTTTAATGCGCAAGCAGTTCTGTTCTTGTGTATGACTTGTAACCTTAATTTACTGTGTAAAGATGGTTACATTATTTCCTTAGCTTTGTTTGTTGGAGACAAATAGAGAATGCTTGTTAAGTATGTCAAAACATAATCTTGTGAATTTTTGTTAATGTATTATACGAGCTATATTTTTCATTTGCCCAAAAAAGACAGCTTGTATAACGCTTTTGGAAGTTTCTGCTCTGTAACGTCCTTAGAGCTGACAGTCTGTTAGGTTTGTTTTTTTCTTCATGCTAAAGTGTCAGTTGGTGGTTTTGTGAACTGGTCAGAAATTCACAGGTCTTAAATGTTTTGGGGAAATTTATATTGGACACTGCTCTTTGTCTAGCAAATAAAAGATGTTAATATATTCCTGTTACTGGCATGTGCACGACTATGTGATTAGAAGCCACTTTATCATTTTCCTGCTTTAAATAGAAATGTCTATTTATGAATTTTGCTTGTAGTTTTTTCACAAATAAAATAGTAAAATTTACATTGAAATCTTTATGTGTGTGTGTAGATTTTAGCCCTAGGGAAAAGAGTTGGTTACTTTTTGTACCCAGACTTTTAATTTGTTCATTTCCATTAGGAAGTTGAAGTGAATTTTTCTGTGAATGGGAGATTTAGTATTTTTTAGAACTTGAGTTGTCGGAAACTAAAGTTGAGTTGCAGGTCTCTGTACTGATGACAAAGCTGTAGCAGAAGATGGTGTGCAGTGGGGAAGTGGTAAGATTGGGGGCGGGGGGACCAGGTTGTGCCTGAGTTCACACCTCAACAGCCCGCAATGCTGCAAAGAGAAAGAAGTAGCATGACCCACTGGTTAATTCCATTAGAAACAGTCCGGCTAGTTGCAGTGGGTAAATTGTGATGCAGACAGAAGCAAAGGAGGTGTGTCCGGTGTGAAAGCTACACAGGTAAAGCTCGCTTACTGCACTCGTGCTGAGGAGATCGTGGCTGAAGCCAGCACACTCAGAAAACCTTGTCTTGACCTGCCATCCCTGGTCTTGTCCTGGGTCTGCATGCACATGAGGTAGAACTGACCTGGTATAGAGTTGCAGAGCTGAGGTCAGATAGAGTCTCGGACATCTCCCAGGATGCTGTGGTACTCTGCCTGCTCTAGTGCCCCTGAGCTTTCCTTGGTACCTTGAGGGGTCCTTTTGGAGAGCGGCCCCACCACAGGAATGATGGAAGTTGCCTGCCACACCAAACGAAGGTCTCCCACAAGAGGCTGGCCCTACAATGAAAATGCGAGGGTGGCTTGTAGGAAGAATGGTTTCTTACCCATGCATGCAGGCTTGTCATTCTCAAGGAAACCCCAGCATTCCCCCTGCATGTTCTCATTCCCTATTGAGCCCTGGTGTAAGGGTATTTTAGCCCTAGGGAAAAAGAGTTGGTTACTTTTTCTACCCAGACTTTTAATTTAGCATTATAATAGTTAAAAAGCATTTGCTGGGTAGGGAGGTGTGGAGTCAGAAAACTCCCTGGCTGGGCTTTGTAGGTCAGTATGTCATGTCTTACGGTGGCCAGCCATCTTGCTTGGTCGAAGCAGTGGCCCCCCAGCTCTGAAGAGCTACTCCGAAAGGTTCAAGACCAGTCTCGGATTTAGGATTAAAAACTCCTGATGAAGGTCTTCTAACCATCAGAAGCTAGGGTCTCAAGATGGTGTGCGTCAGCAAGAACATTCATGTTCCCAACATCCTGGAATGTGGTAAGCCTGGAAGAAGTACACAACTGAATACTTGCAGAAAGGCTTTTTTTTTTTCTCTTAGAAAAAAGTATGGGGCATGTCTGGAAAATTGGAAAGATGGGTCTGGGCGGGCCCTGGAGTGCAAGGAGCTATGTCCAGGTGTCCCATTCTGCCTGAGCCCACCTGTCTTCTAGCCAATTTGAAGCACAAGACTGGGCTAGGGACTTGCTCTGCAGTTTCCTGTGACAGGGTGTTCCAGTGGTCCTGCTTTGAGCATCCAGTCCTGTGCTTAAAATCAAACAGCTATCAAGTGATTGGGCTTAGAGGGCAGAGACAAACTGACACCACTCCTATAAGTGCTTTTCACCTTCCTTAGCACAGTGGATCTGCCCTCAGCAAACAGAAAAAAACAAAAAAAAAGCTGAATCTGGATTTCGATTTCTGCACCACTCAACAGGCAGCAGGACTTTCTGCGAATGAAAACCACGTGCCATAATTTGCTCTAGAAAAAAGCCACCAAAGCCATTGGGAAACCAAGACTGTTCTCCATCCTTTGATCCATGTTGGGGCACTCCCTGGAGTCAGGAATTCCCAAAGGAAGGAAGATAGCAAAGTTTGGGAAGTCGGGAAGAGTAAAAGCCAGTGTTGCAAGAGGCAACTTACTGCTTTTTATGGGACCAATGATCCCTTCCAAGGCTTTAAATCAGCTTGGAATTCCAGACCCAAAGGACTGTTGGCCATCATGGGTGCATCACGTAGGCCAGTCAGAAGGCCAGCCTGGGTTGTCTTGTCAGTTCAGTAAACATCAGGGACTTATGGCAGGGCAGGACCTTTGGGGGCTGTGATTCTGGAAACAGCAGGTGTGCTTTGAAGATCAGAATGGACCAAGACCCCACCTCCTCCCTGCCAGTGAGCTTGGCCCCCTGTGCTCCTTTCCTTCTGGGAAAGAAAACTGCTACCGCTCTTTTCTCAGTTCCCAGGGCCTTGGCTGGTTCCCTCCCCACTAACTACTTGTGCAGTTTTTCATGACAGGATACAAATCCTGCTTTCAGACTCTGTTGTTTCATGATTAATAGCTCCGAGGGTGGAAAGGGTTGGTTTTGTTTCGAGACTTTTATAAAGTTATTTTCTTGGCCCAGAGATAGGATCCGTTGATTGAAGGACCATGATCTTCGTTTTGGTGTTGGCTTTGATTTCTCTGAAGGTTTATGTTCATGAAGCTCAGCTGTACTCTCCAGCCCCTCCAGTGGAGAATAACATTGGTTTGTCCTTTCTTCCTTGCTGCAGGGAGCTTACGTTTATTGGGTTACACCCACCCTAGTGTTCCTGAGGCACTCCCATTCCTCTGCGTTTATCTTTAACTTCTCTGTTATAACCACCTATATCCCCAAATAGACCCTTTGACTTGTAAGGTCCTTAGATCCTTCTAAGGACTCTGGATTTTGTATTTGTAAGTGAAATATTGCTTTTCTCTTTCCCTTATGTCCTTTGCATAGTTTAGTTTAGAGCGGTCACGATCACGGTCCTCCCGTTGTTCATCGATTTTGCTCGAGCGGGCCCAGTAACATTGTGAGACTTGTTACTGTGTTTGGCATATTGAATACATCACGGGAAGCTTGCCAGGCTTTGCCGTGAGGGCGAGATACTCTCGGTAGCTTGCCGGGCTCTCCGAGAGGGGCTGAGGAATCGAACTCGGGTCAGCCATGTTGGCTGCGTGTAAGGCAAACGCCATACCCACTGTGCTATTGCTCCAGCCCTACTTTAGAGCAATGTCCTTTTTTGTATAGGCATAGGAACAGTTCATGCTATGCATTTGTAACTTGGAGTTAATTGACTCCAAATAACATTTACTCCTGGGCATCTTTCATATTTACTCGACTTAAGTCTCAGTTACCCTTAGTTCCTAGCACCCCAAAAGCAGGGTCCTGACAAAGGGACTGAATGAACCCCAGGGCAAGCTGTAAGCTACCCTGGCATTGAAACGGAACAGGCCAGATACCATAAAACTTAAAATTTAAGAGCATGGTTGTGGGTGAATTCTGTCATGACCCAAAGAGAAGTAACTGGACAAGGACCCTGCCAAGGTTAGGAAGGCCTAATCTGGCCTGAGTATTGTTGTCTGGGATCTATAGTGAGATGTCTCCAGGAGAACCACTCTATGAGATTGATATATCTCTTACTGTGTCCATACAAAGTTACTAGAAAGATGATTAAGAAGTAAATCTAAGATGATTGTTTATGGATTATGGATGTCCTTAGATGAAATTCCGCCCTTGGAGCGGATCTCCTAGCAGGAGGAGATCTTTGTCATAGAGCATCCCCTGAAGGAAGGGCTTTGCGTATGTTGATTGTGCTACCTGACCTAGGGGTAGTTGCGACCCTCAACCTTTGGAGATGGGGCTCTAGACTAAGGTTGCGATACTGGGCGAATAGGGTCTAGGGCAGAACTGAGATTGGAATAAGCTGCAACTGATCACCTGTGGCCCTGTCTGTTGGCCGCAGCTGCAGCTGGGTGGGGAAGCCACTCATCTCGTGGCAAGTGAGAGCACACTCAATTCTTGAATACACACTCCAGCAGTATTTTTTTTCTTTTTGGGCCACACCTGATTGTGCTCAGAACTTACCCTGGGCTCTGTGCTCAGAAGTTACCCCTGGGAGGCTCAGGGGACCATATGGGATACCAGGGATCAAACCTGGGTTGGTTGCATACAAGACAAGTACCTTACCTGTTGTACTATTGCTCCTACCCCTACAGTAGTGGTTTTGACAGTATTATGACACTGTCTGAAAAGTGTTACCATGTATATGGGTTTATCTTCATTAAAAGTTGTATTAGGAAATGTTTATTGGTCCACTATCAAAAATAGAGTTTAGGGCTGCTTTACCTATGTTCAATCCCTGGCACCATTTCTCTGAGCCCTACCAGTAGTGATCCCTGAGTGCAGAGCCAGGAGTAAACCCTGAGCAATGCTGGGTGTAGACCAAAAAAGGTTTGAAGTCAGTGGCGGGTAGTAGACATGTACACGGAAGCAGATCAAGTGGGCCATGTAGCAGCCATAGCCATAGTACAGTGGAGAGGGAATGTGCCTTGCACGTGGCTGAGCTGGATTCGATCATCCCATATGGTCCCCTGAGCACCGCCAGGAATAATTCCTGAGTGCAAAGCCAGGAGTAACCCCTGAGCATTGCTGGGTGTGACCCCCCTCAAAAAAAGCCATGTGTGTATGTGTGTATGTATTCATTTGCAGTTCTTACCAATTGAGACCTACTGGGATTTTTTTTCATTCATGCGTGACTATCACAAACCAGCAGAGAGCTTCAGACACTAGTTTAGTCACAATTAGGCTGGAGAATGAGTTCTAGATGAGAATCATTTTTTCTAGTGTGGGTAATTCAGCCACACCCTGGCCCCGCAGTGAGGTGAGCTCTGGCACTCTACTCGTCACTTCTTTGCATGAAGTTATTTGTGTCCATTTAGTTACAGTGGAATTATCTAACTGGCTCGAATTCTAACAATCTGCCAGAGTGGTAAATATGTGCCTTTAAGGAATTCACAAATAATCTAATCTAATACATGATACCATCAAATTGTGGAAGACTCCGTCTCCAAGAGACAGTTCTGGGAACCGGAGCACACAGGGAGGGTTGCATTCAAGTCGGGGATAGTGAGCACCGCTGGTGCTATGAATCATGGTGCCTGGTGAACCTACCTGTTCAGTTTGCCTGTGAGCCAGCAGGAAACTGACCACTCACTGTGGCAACAGACTGGGAGTTTGAATGCAAGTAAGGCTGGGTATGGTGGGAAC